AAAGAATCACGGGAATCTTTTTAAAACCCTGATTTCTGGGCCTCATCCTCCGGAAATTCTGTTTCTTTGTTGTGGGGTGGGGCCACATAACAGAAATCAGGATTTAAAAAAGATTCCCAGGTGATTCTAATGTGCAGCCAAGGTTGAGAACCACTGCCTTAGAGAATTAGTTCTCACATGAGCAAGTTTCAGAATCACCTCCTTAAAGCCCAGACCCCTGGATCCACAACAGAGCATCCAGTTCAGCAGCTCTGGGATCTGCATTTCTGCAAGATCCAGAGGCTGCTGCCACTGCTGGTCCTGGGACCTCACTGTGAGAGCCATGCGTGGCTGTAAACTGGACACGTTAAGGCCCATAAGCCCCTCTGCAGCGCTGTTACCTAAACGCTCCCAGTAAAGCCTGGACAAACACATTCCCAATGGGGTCACTCTTACCCGATCACTTGCTCTTAAATAACTCTCTTTGGCTCCCAGCAACAGAACCAGAAGGTGGTGGGCAGATTCTAAAAATGCCCTCCTCCAAAAAGGAGTCCACACTCCTCATCCCCCAGAACCTGAGACTGTGATAAGAATACCATTCCTGTGACTGTGCTGTTATAAGGTACCGTTGATGTAAAAAAGGGATGATCTGGGTGAGATTTTAATCACACGGGTCCTTAAAAGCAGAGAACTTCTATGGCTGTCGCAGCAGGAAAATAAGGCAGAAGGGGAAGGTAGAATGATTGGCAAGGAGATCTGGATTTTGAGAGTGTGCAGCCGTATTGAAGGTGGGGAGGGCCACGGGAGAAGGAAAGTAGGTGACCGCTAGAAGCAGAAGTAACCTCTGCCAGGAAAAGGGGCCCGCAGTCCAACTCTGCACAGGGCTGAACGTGCCAACAATCAAAATGAGCTTAGGAATAGTCTTCCCAAGGACTCCGGCTAAGACTGACGTCTGATCTACAGAACTCTGAGCTGGTAAACAAGGGTCATTGTAGCCTGTGTGTGGTCATACCGCAATAGAAATCAAATACACAAGCACACAAACCCCTGAAATCAGGAGGGAGCCCTGCCCAGTGTAGACCCACCCCGTCCAGGAGAGCCTCAGACCACGAGCTGGGCCCCTGGGAGGCTCACCTTGTTGTTTGCTGAAAACGTCAGTGGCTGTGACCTACATTCCATCTCCATCAAGGTAACATTCAGTTTCATCTAAAAATAAAAATCTAAAGGTTGTCTGAGAGGACACCTTGAGAACGGGTGGCCCCAGCGACCCTCCGCCGACACAGGCTGGCCCGAGACCACAGACAGATCCCCTCGTCAGCAAGCGTGTGCCCTTCATGGAAGAGCAGTTTGAAAACAGTTTAGCAAAACAGATTGTCCTCCTGCACTGCTGCTCGGTCACATAACATCCTTTCCTGTTTCTGAGATTAATCATCTATAGAGCTGAGTCCTGTCCTCAGCAGGATGCGAGGAAACTCAAGTGAGAGGATGGGATGAATGTGCAGGGTCGTTCGGCAATGATTCCTGCACCCCCAGATATTCTTATGATTCTTGTAACAAAGTCAAATGCGTGAGGACAGTTTTGGTTCTCACCATGACCATAGCACCACTATGATAGTATAGCTATGGTCCAACCACTGTGTCTTTTTACTGTAAAAGGTGGATATAACTATCTGCCACCATAGTCAAATACAATTCAAGTAAAGGGAACAGGTAGCAGTGGATAATCCCTACTATTGAGATTTCCCCCCAACACCTCCCTCCAACTGACTGACAGATGCCGGACATTCACTGAAGTGCAGGTTCATCTCTCAGGGCCGAGGTGCCACATCTGTTCCATCAGGGCCTTTCCCAGATGCAGCCATCCTCTCACCACAAGTCCCAGAGGGCGGCCGATCAGCACATGGGGCTTTGCTCATGTTCTCCATAAGCCTGTACCCTCAGCACGCTGCAGGCACCGAGCTGGTCAGGCATGGCTTTTGGACCCTCTCCATGACAGCTGCCCGCTTTGCTGCTTTAGCCCTGATGACCAGCCATGACAGGGAAGAGGACTCCGTGTGGGGCCCCAGGACCAGTCTAGCTCCTGGATTCCCAAGCAGAGCCAGGAGCTGTGCATGCTGATATTTTCCTCTCACAGTAACTGGATTCAGAGTTGAATCCAAGGACCAGCTTCCTTGATGGATCATACCCTCCTGACCACTTCTGCTTTGGTTGATTTTCTCCCCATTGCAAACGATGGTGGCCAGTGACAGGGTTCTGCTGTGCAGAGCGGAGCACCCAGCCCCCTTCCTGCTGCTTTGTTCTTTTCTCGCAGCTGCCTCTCTGAGCCTCCCCCTCCCACAGTGTGGAGGGATGAGGGAAGCCAAGCAGTGTCATTTCTATTCAAATGCTTGGGAAGAAGTTCTTTTTGAATTCTGGAAATCTTGAAGGGTTTTGAGCCACATATTTGAAAACAGAACTAGCAGCTCGCTGTTTTTCCATGTTATCCAAGCTCATGGTTTTGTTTCATTTTATTTTGCCTTTTCCGTGCTTCGAGTGGTTGAAATATTTGGCACTTTTTTTGTTATGGGAGATCTGGTGGTATTTCATGTGTAGTCAGATCAAGTGGCTATGGCCCACACTGCTGTGAAATAGGTTATACTGTAGGATCATGGTCTGAGCACACACACACGACCTCCACAAAGCAATGTACTTCCTACCATGACATAATTAATCAACTGTTTTTGCTAACAAATACAGAACTGTGCTAGTTTCATTTCCCAGGAGTTGCCTGATAAGCTCTGAAAACTCTGTTTTTGTCATTTTAGTGTCACTTTTCATTCATCTCTTTGAACTGTCATCATTTCAAAATTACAATTTTTAACTAGGAATGCGGGCTGGTGGTTAAAAGCAGGAGGTTTGATATGTGGGTCTGAGAAACAGTGAAAATATACAAGAAACTCGGGAAAATTCAGAACGTGACATTCTTGATGGCTGTGACAGAGTGCTGCCCCCACGGGTCCCATCAAGAACTTGCCAGGAAATAAGAATGAGTGAGTGAGGACACAACACGGTTGATCTAAAGTCTTGGGACACCCTTGGATGTCCACACGGACAAAAATTCAAACAGTATCACAGACTAAACAGTGACGAGTCAACAACACTCCTCTGGGCAAGACTGTATTTTCCAGAGAGCGGCAGGGATATCTCCTACCCCACATGTTCCTCTGCACGGTGACACTGACATTCTTCCCAGAAAGGAAGAACCTAATTTCCTTCCTTTAGTGTCTGGCTTGGCTTAGGGACTTGCTTAAGCAATAGACTGAAATGGGGGAGACCACTCCAATTGCAACACACACCATCCTTGCTGCTCAAAGACATATCTGGCAAGATACCTGAGGGGGTCATCTGCTTGGTTTCCCATCTGGTTGGCAGTGAAGTTGGAGACTGCAGGCTTTGTCCTGTAGCAGGAAGAGGCATTTTAGTGGACAGAAAAGTTCCCTGGTCTCCCAGGAGCACTCGGGATGAACTTGGAGTCGGGTTTCCAATGATTCCTGATGCAAGAGCTGCCCGGGGCACTATTCTCCCCTGGAAATCTTGGTTCTGTTTTTCTGAGTTGGGAGCTCAGATTTTACTTTTTTAAAAAGTGGCCTCGATGATTTTTATCACCAGGGAAGTTTGGGAAGCCTTGACTTAGGGCAAGAGAGCAGCTCTTTTCCTTCTGCTCAATGTTGCAAAAAAAAGGAGCTGATATAATATTTAACCACTGAAGAGAGACATCTGCTTGCATAAGCTCTGTCGGGGAAAGAACAAGAGCCACAGTTACTATTCTGAGGAGGAGGAAATTCGTGGGGTTGCTTTGAAGCGGTTCTGTGGTTACGAATGACAGGTACTGTCGCAGAAGATGGGGTTTCCTTCTCTAGATGAGCTTGGGTTTGATTGCAAAACACAGCAGGCTTGACAATGCAGTTGTTTACCTCACCCCGAGGCCAGGGACTGTGCTGCCACCAAGGAGGGAGGGCCGGAAGCAAGTGTCCCCAGACGCTAGGTCATGCCTGTGCTCATTCAGCCTCCGCCAATGATGCCGTGCACGGGAAGGTTTCCTGTGGCACCCTCTTCTCCTGCAGTTGGAATCCGTCCCCAAATGCTGAAAGCAAAAGGCATATGGGAAGTGGGGAGGAGTGCACACATGGTCAAGTCTGCTTATTTCTTTAATCTTCACCCAGATATATTTTCCACTGATTTTTAGAGAGAGTGAAAGAGAGAAAGAAAGACAGAGAGAAATATCGATGTGAGAGAAACACATTGATTGGTTGCCTCCTGCGTGCGCCCTGACCAGGGCCGGGTCTGGGGAGGAGCCTGCAACCAAGGTATGTGCCCTTTAACTGGAATTGAACCTGGGATCCTTCCATCGGCAAGCTAATGCTCTATGAACTGAGCCAAACCAGCTAGGGCAAGTCTGCCTATTTCTAATGAGCTGACCAGCAGGAAAATTGGGGTTGATACATCAAGGGACCCTGGAGGCCCCGCTGCCATTTCTACAATCCTGGTTTTGGTAAGACACAACAGGGCCTTGGAACAGTGCCTAAGTGTCTAGAAAAGCACCTCCTGGCATATAAGGCAGCTCAATAGACACGCTGTGAATGAGCAAATGAATGAATGTGAATGAGAGGCAGCTTGAATTGCAAAACAGAGACCTTGAATTATTGACAATTATGAGAAAACTTTAGGCTTCATTTCTCAGAACTTTATTCTTCTACACAAAGTTCAGGCCTCTGCCTGTTCTACTCTGTTAACCACAGGAGCCCAAAGTTCTCCCATAACTAATCTGAACCTGTGATCGCTTGCTCTGCTCTTAGGAGCTCTCACACTCCCTTTCCCTCCTAAGGAACAGGTGATTGTGTGAGGACGATGGAGCAGGGCAGCAGGCCCTTGGAGGACTTCCCTGTCAACGTGTTTTCCGTCACTCCTTACACACCCAGTACCGCAGACATCCAGGTGTCCGACGATGACAAGGCAGGGGCCACCTTACTCTTCTCAGGCATCTTCCTAGGACTGGTGGGGATCACGTTCACCATCATGGGCTGGATCAAATACCAAGGGATCTCCCACTTGGAATGGACCCAGCTCCTCGGGCCCATCCTGCTGTCGGTCGGGGTGACGTTCATCCTGATTGCTGTGTGCAAGTTCCAAATGCTCTCCTGCCAGTTGTGCAGCGAGAGTGAGGAAAGGGTCCCTGACACGGAGCAGACGGCAGGAGGACAGTCATTTGTTTTCACTGGTATCAACCAGCCCATCACCTTCCATGGGGCTACTGTGGTGCAGTATATCCCTCCCCCTTATGGCTCTCAAGAGCCCATTGGGGTGAACACCACGTACCTGCAGCCGATGGTGAACCCTTGCTGCCTCACACCACCTGGAGTGGTGGCCGCTGCCACGCCAAGCCCTCCTCAGTACTGCACCATCTACCCTTCGGAGAACTCTGCCTTTGTTGACGACCAGGACTACCCTGCCTTCACGGATGGTGGAGATGACAGGTACGGTGTCTGTGGTGGGGATCCTCCCCTTCCCTCAGTCACAGCCGTAGTCGATGGCTCTGTTTGCTCTATAAGGAAGGTGGTGGGCGAATGCAATCTCTGTGTGGCCTATTGCCGGGCAGGTGGCGTTGGTTCTGGGAGCGGTGCTGTGGCCTGTAACGCATCTGTGTTTTCCGCTCACATTTCAGGTCCAGCCCTGATGCTGAGCTGCTAGAAGAGATGCAGCGGGGAGGTGAGGACTCTGCTGACTTCTCTCCTCCCCCCTATGAGGAGATATTCTCCCTCCCTCGATAGAGACTAATGCTGAGGGAGTAGCCTGAAGTCATTGTTGCTGACAAATGAAGTGTTCTACGCTGCAACCTTCAGGAGGCAGACAGCAGAGCAGCCTGACAGACACCATTCAAGGGGGGTGGGAGGTGAAATGTCTCAAATTGGTAAAAATAAGGCTGGGGTGGAGAAATTACCTTCTGATACAGTGAGGGATCCCCCGCCTACAGTTCACCAGCAGCATGCCTACCAGTGAGAGTAGGGGTGGGAGGGAGGCAGGGAAGAGAAAACTGGCTTTCCCAGGGCCCTTCTCAGTTCCCAGGGTACATTTGCATATCCCATCAGGTGTCCCCGAGGACTCTGGGTATCTTAAAGGCTGCAATAAACAAACGAATAAATGGAGTACAAAATAAAGAATATGTTCTGTTAGGATATTGGATAGGTGTCTAAACCATACAAAATAAGTAAGGATAGGACAATGATGTCATTAGATACTTAAGTTATCATTGGGTCGCAGGGACTCTGGGCTGCTGATGCTCTTGTGGGAAAGTTTAGGCTTGATGTGTCCGCCCAGGTTGGGATCAGTGCTGGGCACGAGCTGCCTGGGCGCAGTGCCGGCAGAACCCGGGACTTCTCTCAGCACCTCACAAGAGTTCTGTAGAGTTAGACAGAATGGAGCTGCCATGCCAACACCTGGGAAATCATGGATCGTGGAAATAATCGTTATAGCCAAGACAAGCTCATCTCTTTTATAAAAAAACACACACATACTGTTGCCCTTAATTTCCATGAATCCGGACTATGTAATAAACAACCAGAACAGACTCACAGACTGTGGAAGAGACAGTTAAAATCATCAGGTTTTAAAAGAAAAGATTTTCCTTAGGCTACAAAGGGAGGCTTACCCAAACAAGACAGGATTTAGCTGTTCTTTAAAGTTTTGGTACTATTTTATCAGAAATATCTAGTTTTCCAAGGATATGATTCACATAGGCCATGGTATATTATTGTGATTTGTATTCTATCTCAGGAACAAAATCTTTTCCTATGAGAATTCATTTTCATGTTTGATGATAGGATGTGATGGAAAAATACAGTTCTGTTCACAGAAACTAGCTTTATATTCATTTCATGAAATACTGGACTCCGAGCTGGGGGTCATGGGCTCTGGGCAGGAAGTGAGTGACGGGGACATGGCTGAACATCACCAGCAGCACGCCTGCCAGTAGTGACACTCAGAGGCCTGCATGCCCGCCTCCCTCACCCCGTTCCCTCCTCACTCTCACCCACCCTGCAGCTTGATATTCCTGGGCTGGGGTTCGGCAAGAAGGGATGCCCAAATGGGAAAAAGATGTTAGGAAAGGATGTCTCTGTGTGAAAGCTGGGAGGGTAGGACAGCCAATTTGTCTGGGTGACGCCAGGAGTCCCATATGCAAGGACGTGGCCCGGGGAGTTTGTAGCTCCAGAAACTGTCCCTGTTCTAAGACAGTGAAAAAGCGCTAACCGTAGAGGTAACTGATGCTTCTGAGGACAGTGCGTCAGCACTAACCGCTTCGGGAGCTCAGGGTGGGGGGCTGGCCTGCAACAGTTGGGGGTCAGCAAATGGGTATGTGTTCATTCCGTCAGTATTTGTTGACTACTCTGGGTCAGGACTGGGGCCAAGGGGCATATGACAGTGAAAAACCAAACCAACAGACGAGCAGATATGGCTCTGCCCTTGCAGAGTTTCCCCGATCATTATTCTCTGACCCCAAAGAGGGGTCCTGAACTAGTCAGGAGAGTCACAGAGTTTGCTTGGGGAGTGCCGTCAAGGCCCTCACCACACCTAGCCCCAGGGAGTCACATTTACAAGGGTAGCCAGGTGGCTGGTGTTCTGGCCTCAGAGGACTGTCCTGGGAACTGAGTAGCTGATACCTGTACAAGGAGGAGGGGACGCCTAGCACATCCCCTGAGTGGGAGAGGTCTTAGGGATGACCTACAGGCTTTGTAAGCCTGTATATCGCTGCTGCCACCGCCCTCAGACAGAGCTGCCTTCCAGTCCCTGACCAGTTGCACCCCCCAGCTCTCTTGCCTCAGGGCAATCCCACAATGCTCTTTCTATCTTTGTGCGAGGGTTGCAGGGGCCAACGTGACAGGAAGCCCCGAGTGGCCCCTGAACTCAGACACCAGGTCTCTGCCTGGTCTGTGACCAGCGAGGGCGCATTCCTGGCCGAGTGTCTGGTTTGTGGTCTGGTGTTACCATTCTCTCTCTCAGCATCTTATGGGGCGAATAGAGAACTGGGATGTGGGAATGATGGACTGGAGTTTGGCCCAGCCACGCTATCCACCCCAAGGTTATGGTGTGGGAAGGGCCCTGCCATTGCCCACGTGCTCAAAGGCTCAGTGTCCAGGCCAGAGCCCGGGGCCTGCCAGCCTTGTCGAGCATTTTGGTAGGTGCCCGCAGGGCAGCTGGGAAGCCACAGAAGGGTTTTAATAATGCCCGCGACCTGACTCTGCGCACTTGCTCACTCTGGCAAGACCCAGGGACATGGAGGGCGTAACATTGGTCTTGCTGGCAAAGCTCAGACCTAAGTGGCCAGAGCAGCAGCGACCTCGGTCTCCTCCACCTCCGCCTCCCTGGGGCCATGCGGGTGGGCACTTTCTGGTGAGCTACACGGAATTCAGAATAAAGCTCCAGGTCTTGTTAATCCAAGGAGACGGGTTTCTTAAGAACCTGAGGTTCCCTGGAAACCTCCTGCCAGCCCCTTGGGCTCCTTTTGGCTGGAGAGATGGCAGGCAGCTAACAGTCCTGATGGACCGGGGAAGGGGTCCTCCAGGCCTGGAAGTGAGGCCCAGACACCAGGGGAAGGCACTCTCATGAAGCTCTCAGCCCTCCTTTCTCCCCTGGGACCAACCTGTGGCCCAGCACCCGCCCTGGGGCAGAGCTCCGAGGTCTTTCAGGGGCGGAGAACTCCCAGGGATTGCAATCGCCCTCTCTTTGGCTCCACTGAGCCAGGCACGGGTCTAAATTTCAAATGCGCTGTAGCTCTGCAACACAGCCAGCCCTTTTGCTCTACCTGTGTTTTTTGGGGGGGAGGGAGGGAGGGGGGGCGGGGTACAGTATGAAAACAAAGACTCTTATTTGTGAAGAGCTGGCCATGGGTGTCTGTTTTCAGCTTCTGACCCCAGGCCGCCTCCCCGGCTGTTTCCTGTTGGGTCAGTGGAGTAGGGTTGCCATGAAGCCCCACACCCCTGGGCAGGTGGTGTTTCTCCTCCAAACAGAAACTCCTCGCAGTGGCCGAGGGGTGGAAACCTTCTTACCCACGGAGAGAAGAGGAGTTCGCACACATCACTGAGGTGACTGGGCCTAGCGCTAAGGGGTGTGCCCGTCTGTCCCGGTAACCAGGGCGCTGTCTGCAGCTCCAGCACTCAGCACTCACCAAAGGCCTCATTCAGAGCCCTCTGCACAGCCACACTCTTGGTGCCTGTTGAATAACAAATGTGAAATGAGTAAACGGACTCTTCAAATAGGTAAAGACCGCGCAGGCTCAACTTAGCTGTTTCATTGTTTTCTACGTTATGAAAAATTTCAAGTAAATACAAGAGTAGAGAGAATAGTATATGAAACCTATGTAGCCATCACCTAATCTCAACTCATGGCCAATCTTTTCATTTATACCCCAGCACAGTCCCTCAACTGGATTTGTAAAGCAAATCCAAACCGTTAAATCACTTCATTCTAAAATACTTCATGTGTATTCTTAAAAGTTAAAGATTCGAGAAAAAAAAACCCCAACACCATTATTACACCTAAAAAATTTACAATTCCTTAATGTCATTAAATATCTAGTCAATGTTTAACTTTCCCCAATTTTCTACTTTAAAAAAAAATGTTTTTATTGATTTTTAGAGAGAGAGGAAGGGAGAAGGAAAGAGAGATAGAAACATTGATCAGAGAGAAACATTCTCAATTGGCTGCCTCCTACATGCTCCCTACTGGGGATTGAGCCTGCAACCTGGGCATGTGCCCCAACTGGGAATCAAACCAGTGATCTCTCGGTTCATGGGTCTACACTCAACCACTGAACCACACAGGCCAGGCCAGCCAATTTTCTACTTTTTATTTTTACCTCTTTGTTTTGTTTGAATCAGGATCCATTCTGCTAAATGCGCCTACATTTCTAGTCGTAGTACATTATGTTTGGGGAGGTAGACAATTGGCACCCTATTATGGTAGCAGATCCATATTTATTAAATTTCACTTTCCAAACAAAAATGTTTTTCAAGATTTTTTTTTTTTACTCCATATCTCCTTCTCTGTCGGTTCCCTGAAACTCTAGGTATCCTTTGGAATTGGAAACTTCCCCCTCCCCCCTACTTTTCGCATATTATAATATTTTTCTAAATATAGGTCCAGAAAAAATTATACATGAAAAGAAAAATACCTTTAAGTGAGTGTTTAGTTGACAAATATCTGTTGCAGATTAGTTTCAAAAGTATCAGAAAACGCTGACAACCTTTAGCATTTTTGGCTTGATCAGTAAAACCTAAAAAAATTTTTTTTTCCTCCAGAGACCAGAAAAACTCCTTTGAACTAATCTAAAGTGGGAACTAGAGTCTCCTCCTTAAGAAATAAAGGGCAGAGCCTCTTGCTCTATATTAAAATGTTACCTGATGTAATTTAACTTCTAGAGGTTGTTGACTGTGGGCCTCTTACCAATAAGTTCTCAATTTCAAGTTAAAAGTGAATCTATTTTCTGCATATGCCTGCAACTCTTCCTTTGAAGGTGAATGTGTGTGTGTGTGTGTGAGAGAGAGAGAGAAAGAGAGGGAGGGAGGGAGGTTGAAGAAATTGGCTTATGTGATTGTGGAAGCTGGCAAATCCAAAATCTTTAGGGTAGGCCCCTACACTCCCTTCATATAGTATGTGATTTATGGATTTCTTGCTCACTTACTACTTGTAAATCATCATGAGTTTTATGTCCCAAGCAGTCAGCAGTTGGTTATAAAATCAACAGCAAGTGAACTAAATAAACCCTGCCTGGCTTACTCTCAGAATTGATGACAAATCAGAAAGTGAAGACAACGCCACAGAAACATTCTCACCTGCCTCTGGGATGCCGCAAAGGTCTCAGATAGGGGAATTTTATTTGTCTTGAGCTTTTGGGAAGATTAATAACCAGATGAACTGGGAAGGAAATCCGTTTTCTGGATTCCAGAAGTTTTCTTATAACAAAGAACTTGTCCTCCGGCATAAAACCAACACGTGTGTAAATCACAGGCCTGTGTGCTGGAATCTGTGCTACACGCCAGGGGCTGCACACGAGGATGAGGGAAGACAGAGATCTTCCCATTAGCCCTCCCACTCATCCGTTTAAAGAACACTTTTTAGAAAGGGGGATGGACTTGTGTATTCTTTTTGAACATACAGAATATCTCTTGAAGAATGCACAAGAACTGGTGATAATCATTTCCTGGGCAGAAGAAAGGAGACTTATTTTTCACTTTACTCCATGCTAATGAATGAAATTTTTGTAACCAGGTTCATAGATTACCTGTTTATAAAATTATTTTTAGAATAGAGGAAGGAGAAAAGGAAATGATCTTACTCGATGCACTTTTACTGTTAACATCATCTTCTTGGTCCTAAGGTAAATCATTTTCACTGCCACTGCTGCTTCTCTATGTAACAGGTAAACATACATAAGGCATACAGATACTAGGGTGGTATGTATACATACACCCACGTGGACAAATACACTGCCATATGAATATCACTTTTACATTTAACATATATATGTTGTTGCTAGAGTCCTCTGCTGGCTAATGTCTGACACTAGGTA